TCCCCAGCCAGCAGGTACGGGATTGGGGTCATTCCCGGGGATTTGGGGTCATTCCCGGGGATTTGGGGTCATTCCTGGGGATTTGGGGTCATTCCTGGGGATTTGGGGTCATTCCTGGGGATTGGGGTCCATCCCGGGGGATTGGGGTCATTCCCGGGAATTGGGGATGTTCCCGGGGATTTGGGGTCATTCCTGGGGATTGGGATCCATCCCGGGGGATTGGGGTCCATCCCGGGGGATTGGGGTCATTCCCGGGGGTTTGGGATTGTTCCCGAGGGTTTGGGGTCCATCCCGGGGGATTGGGGTCATTCCCGGGAATTGGGGTCATTCCTGGGGATTGGGGTCCATCCCGGTAGATTGGGATTCCTGGGGAATTGGGGTCTTTCCTGGGGAGTTGGGGTCGTTCCCGTGGGTTTGGGATCCATCCTGAGCGTTTGGGGTCCATCCCGGGGGATTGGGATTCCCCAACGGGAAAAGGGACTGGGGCTGGGAGAAGGGGGTTGGGATCATTCCCAAGGGTTTGGGATCCTTCCCGAGGGTTTGGGATCATTCCTGAGAGTTTGGGATATTTTGGAATCATTGCTGAGAGTTTGGGATATTTTGGAATCATTGCTGGGAGTTTGGGATATTTTGGGATCATTCCTGAGAGTTTGACATATTTTGGGATCATTCCTGGAAGTTTGGGATATTTTGGGCTCATTCCCAAGGGTTTTGGGATTTTTCCAAGAGTTTGAGATCTCCCCTGCCTCATCCCAGCCCCGCTCTGGGCTGGTTTACCTGGAATGGCCCCTCTGGAAAACCGGGATCACTGTCCATGGGGATCTGGAGATTCCTGCGCATTCCCGGTTTTCCCAATATTCCCGATATTCCCAACATTCCCAATATTCCCGATATTCCCGGATTTCCCGCAGGTCAGTGGGGGTGGAGGTGCACACGGCTGAGGGCTCCGCGCCCGCTCCCGGAGCGTCCCCAACCAGGTGAGTGGGATCCATGGGATATGGGATCCATGGGATGGGATTTGGGATCCGTGGGATGGGATTTGGAATGAGATTTGGAATACGATGGGATGCGATTTTGGATGGGATTTGGGCTGAGATTGATGGGATGGGATGGGATTTGGAATGGGATATGGGATCCATGTGTGGGATGGGATTTCAGATGGGATTTGGGATCCATAGGATGGGATCTATGGAATGGGATCCATGGTTAGGATTTGGGGTAGGATTTGGGATCCATGGGATGGGATTTCGGATGGGATTTGGGTTGAGATCGATGGGATGGGATCCATGGGATTTGGAATGGGATTTGGGATCCATGGGATGGGATCCATGGGATGGGATCCATGGGATTTGGAATGGGATTTGGGATCCATGGGATGGGATTTCGGATGGGATTTGGGATCCATGCGATGGGATTTCGGATGGGATTTGGGTTGAGATCAATGGGATGGGATCCATGGGATTTGGAATGGGATTTGGGATCCATGTAATGGGATTTCGGATGNATTATCCCAATCCCATTATCCCATTCCCAGTTTCCCGGCCGGACGTTCTCCCTCGGGACGAGGCCGGCAGTGACTCCGTGGCCACCACCCTGTCCAGCTCCTCCCTGGGCAGTGCCGGCCTTCACTCCCCGGCCAGCAGGTACGGGATTTGGGGTCATTCCCGGGGGATTGGGGTCATTCCTGGGGATTTGGGGTCATTCCTGGGGATTTGGGGTCATTCCAGGGGATTGGGGCCGTTCCCAGGGGATTGGGGTCATTCCTGGGGATTTGGGGTTGTTCCCGAGGGTTTGGGCTCCATCCCAGGGGATTGGGGTCATTCCCGGGGGTTTGGGATTGTTCCCGAGGGTTTGGGGTCATTCCCGGGGATTGGGGTCCATCCCAATGGTTTGGGATTCCTGGGGAATTGGGGTCTTTCCCAGGGGGTTGGGGTCATTCCCAGGGATTTGGGGTTGTTCCCAAGGGTTTGGGGTCCATCCCGGGGGATTGGGGTCATTCCCAGGATTCCCCAACAGGAAAAGGGACTGGGGATGGGAAGAAGGGGTTGGGATCATTACTGATGGTTTGGGGTCAGCATAATTCCCAAGGGTTTGGGATCCTTCCCAAGGGTTTGGGATAGTTCCTGAGAGTTTGGGATATTTTCTGATCATTCCCAAGGGTTTGGGATGGTTTGGGATCTTTCCTGGGAGTTTGAGATCTCCCCTGCCTCATCCCAGCCCCGCTCTGGGCTGGTTTACCTGGAATGACCCCTCTGGAAAACCGGAATCACTGTCCGTGGGGATCTGGAGATTCCCGCGCATTCCCGGTTTTCCCGATATTCCCAATATTCCCAATATTCCCGGATTTCCTGCAGGTCGGTGGGGGTGGAGGTGCACACGGCCGAGGGCTCTGCGCCCGCTCCCGGAGCGTCCCCAACCAGGTGAGCCCTGACCCCGCTGCTTCGGGAACACGGGGAAACACCGGGAATGGGGTGGGATCCATGGGATATGGGATCCATGGGATATGGGATCCGTGGGATATGGGATCCATGGGATATGGGATCCATGGGGTGGAATCTGTGGGATTTCGGATCCATGGGATGGGATGGGATGGGATCCATGGGATATGGGATCAATGGGTTGGGATGGGATGGGATCAATGGGATGGGATTTGGAATGAGATTTGGGATCCATTGGATGGGATTTTGGGTGGGATTTGGGCAGAGATTGATGGGATGGGATTTGAGAGCCATGGGATGGGATCCGTGGGATTTGGGATCCATGGGATGGGATTTGGGATCCATGGGATTTGGGATCCATGGGATGAGATCTGTGGGATGGGATTTGGGAT